TAAATCAGAAGGCGTTTTGAGACTACTTTTTTCAATGTCAGCACTTTCAAATTGTTTGTAAAAAATTAAATACTCTTGATCATTAAACAAAAAATCATTATTTTTTAAAATTATTAATTCGCATTTATTACATTTATACTGATCAATACATTTTTTGGCCAAATATCCCGCAAAATATGTATTTGAACAGGTTTCTAATGTTATTGTTTCTTCATTATTACTGAGGCATTGATCGAAAGTACCTTCTTCATCCGAAGATATAAATGAGTCAGAAACTGATTCAACTAATGTTTCTGTAGCTGTGTGAGGTGTAGAAAGAGTATTCTGTGAATTAGGGTCAAATAAATTGTAATCAAAATCATTTTCACAATTTGATGAATCAGTGGCCTTCATGAGATTGTGTTTTGCTTGAAACCGAAATGATGTTCTAAAGGTACGAGCAGTCGGGTTTCTGTTGAAACCTCTACGCTGACGAAAAACCGAAAAAGTGTTTTCTATGACATCCTGATTTAAACGGCTGGTAAGAAGATACTTAAAACCTAATTGTTGTTGTTGTGTATATAACATTATTATTGCGTTTATGCTCCATATCATAGCGTCGAAACACGGAACAACTTTACCATACACTTTTATTGGTTGTATTAACTCCAGCTGTGTTCACCATTCTTTAGTTTTCATTAAACATTGAAGTAAATAAGGTTTTTTTTTCATTTAAAGCACAAGAGTATAGGTTAGAACTGTACAATGTTTTGCTGTTTAGACAGTCGAATAAATTATTTAATTCTTGAACAAAATCGGCGGTTGCAGTGGCAGTTTTTGATTTTATTTGACCTGTAGCAATACATGTTTTTAGAACAGCTGCTACTGAATTACTAAAGACTTGGAGAGCAAGTTTACAATTCATTTTTTGAAACGGGTTGGGATTCATATGACTATCGGTTAATTTTAAAAGAGTTCTACTAGTACAACTCGATTTTTCAATATTATAAGCCAACTTAATATCTGAAAAAGAAACTTCTTGTCCATTGAATTTAAAATTATATTTCAAAAAATTGTTTCTTAAATTTTTTAAAATATGTGGCACATCAAAAATAGTAAAAATAGTTTTACCTTTAATTTCAATAAATGGTTTTTCTTTACAACATGCTTTAGGGCTGAATAATTATTGGAACCTTGATCACAAACGAGTGCCACAATATTAAAACTTAACTCTGTACATTTTTCGATTAAATCTGTAATTAAATCTTTTAATATTGAACTACTCATTGATGAACCCGATAAAAAATAAGCCAATGGTAATTTTCAATTATTATATAGCCCTCGAACCATGAAAACCATGGCCTGCGTAGCCAATTTATTCGTTCTACCTCTGTGTCCTAAATCTTCAAACCCTTCGACCATATCTAAATACTTCGAGTATTCTAAAAAAGATTTAATTTTCATTTCGTCAAAAATTATCACACAATATTTTTGGTCATCTGACATTGTATCCAACTTAATTTTAATTTGCTTTAGCCAGAGTGAATTAAAACCGGGACAAAATTTAGACTTCCCTATCCACCTTCGTAACGTTGTTTCACCTGGTAAAATAATTTGTTGATTATTTCTAAGAAATTTGTATGTAGCTGGTGATTTATAGTATAAATTTATTGTAAAATTTTTTTCAGCTTGTGTCCAAGATGATCTTGAATTACGCTTATGGAACATTTGCATTTCTGCCATTACTTTAGATCCCAAACTTGAAAATGTGATATTTTTTTTAAATTTATGTAAATTAAATTTATTACGAGAAACTTGTAATTTTTTTCTTAATTTACTGATGGTAGATGAATTCTTTTTTAACAAAATATTTTTTTTTCTAATTTTGTCTTCCAGGCGTTTTATTAACAATTCTGAACTTTGTTCGTTAGGAAAAAGAACTGTTTTTGAATTAAATAAACGACGTTTCCGATTACTAATAGGCGAAGGCATATCTTTAAATGATTTAACCATTAAACTTGTTGGTGGAGAACATTCATAAGTCAAAATTGGCGAAGACGGTGATGTATTTAATGTAGCCGGAACATGAGGAGATTCAATAGGTGTTCTTGGACATTTTTTTTTTGTACACTATGGTTGGTGTTTTAACGTGTAAATTTGGTGACTCGGGGTGTTCACATTCGTTAAATGATGGAGTTGGAATGTATTGTCCTACATTAGTTGGTAATTCAGTAAAATCATATTTTATTGGAATAACATTTTGTTTTAATCTTTGTTGTGTTTCAATATTATTAAAATCCGTAGGTTTAAAGTGTAAATTACATACATGGCGATTATTAAGTTGTTCCAACGATAAATCCGCCAATTTAATATTCCCTACAGTTAAAATAGTATTGAGGTTAATATTTTGGGGAGCAATTAAAGTAAGAAAAATTTCAATTTGGCATATTGGTGGTGTACTAGGATGCGTGTCTGTGATATTTTATTTATTTATTTTATATCTAAAAACATTTTATAGTAAATCGTGATTAGATTCTGAACGGAGTAAAATAATAGTCGAAATAATGCGTCAATTTTAAACTTCAAGGGTGGTTTCCGATGGAAAAATGAATATCCTTAGCGCATTATATAGGTCAAAAGTAAAAATTTTCCAACAGTTTTCAAAAAAATCGGGTTAAACAAAAAAAAAGTGACGGAAAAACGGGAATTTTTACGCAAAATCAGTTTTCGACACAATTGATTTTTTATATTGTTGTAACTCAAAAACTAATCAATATAAATAACTGAAATTTTTACCAAATGTTTATATTAGCGTTATCTACACACGGTTAAATTTTTAAAATATTCTGGATTTTTTTGAACTATTTATAGATAACTGAATTTTTTTTATTTTTTTAAGTATTTTTTTTTTGAAACTTCAATAAAACATTTCTTATAGATCGATTTCACTGTAGTTAAGGAAAATCAAAAATTGTAATTCACAATTTTTTTTATAAGTGTTCAAATTTTTACAAAATATCTCAAAATCACGAAAGTTTGCAAGTAATTTTGTAGTTGAAAATTCATAAATTTGTTTATACTTATATCTAAGAGAATAAAATTGAACACTAAGTTGTCCATAAGTACAACAAAATAACCTACAAAGAAAACTCTAGCATCATTAAAGGAAAAAATGTTATGAGCTTTTGAACTTTAAATTTTTACGAAATCATGAAACGATAACGATTAAAAATGATATTAAATATCTGTTATAATTCAAAAAGTATAAGTCGTATAAACTTGAAATTTTCACCAGTTGTTTAGATTGCCATTTACTTTACACAATTTAATTTTCAAAATATTTCGTTTATTTTAAGGCTATTTATAGGCATTTGAAATATTCATTTTTTAAGTTTTTTTTTTAAATGTCGATAAAATATTTTTGGGTGGGTCAAAAATTTTGAAAATTTAATTAAAAGTTCCTCATGAGTTATTCTTATTATCTTTCAAAAATCATAAGAATAAATAGGCACGTTTTTTTTATTAGCGTTAGAAGTTCAAATATTTGACAAAATTCGTCAAATTTACTAATATTTGCAAATTATTTTGTACCTAGTTAAAATTGTAGCAAATGTTTTACCAAAATTAAAAAATAAATTATTTGTATCAAAATTACAACTTAAATATAATATAGTATATCCTAGGCTGACAAATCATCTCCGTTCAGAATTGTTTTTCGTATACAATGATAAAGAAGAAAAAAAAAAGAAAAAGAATTAAACACACATCATTGTAAAAACAATACATTTATCACCCCGTTCAGAATCTACTCGTAAAATGACGTATAATATAAAAAATGCATACAATTTAATGTAATTATTTTTAAATTTTTAAAAAGAATAATTATTAAATTTTTAAATACGATTTCATTCAACTAACCTGATTGTTTAACCCATTCTTTTGCCTGATCTTTATTCTTGGGAAAACGAAATAACTTAATATTTTTATCATTTCATTTACTTTTACCACAGTTATAAAACATACATTTATTGCCTTTCGTAGCCATGATAATATTTAAAAAAATTGGTGAATTAATCGTGTCACCGCGGCTCGTGCAAACTGCAGAAGTGCTGAGTTAATAATGTTGTAATAATGACAATAATGTAACGTAATAATAATTTAATTATGTCAAATTATTGTGTTTGTGTTAAATTATATTTACGTTATATTCTTTTGTATAATAGACATTAAAATAGATTTTTGTCCACAGCGTTAACACAATATAGTTTGTGAGCGTTGACGATTGTTTTTATTTCATTATTCATTTATTCCATATCGCAATTTATTTTTAGTACTAATCGCCCGAACGCCGCGGCCGATCATATTCCGCCGTACATATTCCCAGACAATTTGATTATTAAGGTTCGGGCACACAGATGCTGATTGAAGAAGTCAAAAAATATGTATTCTTATTCGATACATCTCACCAATATTACAAAAATGTTGTAAAAAAAGCAGAAGCATGGACTAAAATATCGGAACAACTGGGAATAACTAGTAAGTGTATAGTCTAATATAGTATAGTATAGTAAAATATAATAGAATATATACCTCTAATTTTATTTCTTAATTTTACATTCATTGTATTTATGGTAATTTGAAGGTAATACGTATTCACAAATTATTTATTGTATTTTTATTCACTTGTAGTAGGTAGTACGTACTCAAAATGAATTAATCTATTCTATGGTACATACGTATAGGACCAATACTATAGGACTATAGGTAATAGATTTTATAATATATTGCCAAGTTCAATTAGGTAATTCCTATTTTATAGAAATATTTTATTTTTATTTGCTTTGACAGACAAAATATTTTGGTATTTAATTTTATTACACGCTATTGATAAAAACTGTATACATATTCGTAAGATGAATTTATTAATAGTTTATTTAATAATAATATTACCGAACAGTGTACACCCGATATAGAAATAAATATTGAATACTAAACTAAAATGCTAGATAATATTATTTCATTTATTTAAAATAACTCGCAAACTGTTCTCGAATTTCAAATGCAGCCGTATTTGTCCTTCGATTAGTCGATCTCATGTCCGATAAAGCTCGAATAGTTTCAGTTTGCTCCTCACTTTCAATGAATGTGTTATTATTTTTAATCATAATGTAGTTATGTAGGCAGCATGCAGCTTTCACAATGCATTCGGCAGTTTTAACATCCGTTTCTATTGATCTTAGGAATACTCGCCACTTCATAGCTAATATACCAAACGCATTTTCGACCACACGGCGCGCTCTGCTTAGTCGCATATTGAACTTTTTCTTTTTTACGTCACTTATCATAGTGGCTTTAGGATAAGGTCTCATCAAATAAGTTTGGAGAGCAAAACCTTCGTCACCAATGAATACGTGGGGAACAGAATTATCGGTACCTGAGAGTGGCTTCGAAGGTAGAATAGTTTTTCCATCAATGTACTGCTGAAAAAAAGCGGAATTTTCGAAAATAGCGCTGTCGCTGTGACGCCCATAGCTGCCAATATCAACTACCATAAACTTGTAAAACGGGTCTACTACTGCTAAGAGAACGATGGAAAAAAAATTTTTGTAGCAGAAATAACTTGAGCCACTATTATTAGGACATTTTACTTTAATGTGCTTTCCATCAATGCTTCCTAGGCAGTTAGGAAATCCCCAAACTTTTGAAAATCCCTCCACAGCTTCATTCCATATCTGTTCAGTAGGTGCAGGTAAATAAGTTGGATGTAGATTGTTCCAAATTTCTTGATACACTTCTTTTATAATTTTTGAAACAGTTGATCGTCCCGTTTGAAAAGAAAAAGCAATACTTTGGTGGCTGTCACCGGTAGCTAAATATCTAAAAAATTAATAAAGATTCATAAAATAGTTTTTAGATTCTGAGCGGAGCGATGAATGTATTGATTTTTTAAAAATCATTTTAAGTTCAAATTTAGACAAAATTTATCAAATTTTAAATTATTTTGTAGTTAAAAATTTATAAAATGTTCAACTTTTATAGCTATGGATTGAAAATTTAAAACAAGGTTCAACGTAAATCAGAGGCGTATTTAGGGGGGGGGGCGACGGGGGGCAATCGCCCCTGGGCGCCAAAAGCTAAGTCTCTTAAAGGGGCGCCGTGGCTAGAGGTTAAATTGTTTTCACAGTGAAATTATACATATAATAAAATAAAATAATTTTTTTTATTTATTGATTTTATTGAAAAATTGAAAATTAATAATTAAAATAATTAAATTATTGATAACAGATTAGTGATAATCTGTATCATAAATACTATATTATCATAGAATTTATTAATATTCTACACAGCTCGGCAGCTCGGCTATAAATAGATGTTTGTTAATCTATCAATTTTATTATTTTGCGGGTCTGTTCCATACTTCCATGATAAAAATTATTAAAAATAGATTATTTCTATCATGGTCTGTCCATTTCTTGTCTCGTATGTAGTATGTGTAAATGTTGTTATGTGCTAATCACTATTTATGATTATTATTTATTACTGTAGGAAATGCGACAGCGACATTACAGTATTTCTAAACCACGTTTTAACGTTTTTACCGGCCTATTGATTCACCGTTAGTATTAGTGTATTATATTCATCAAGTAAATAATTTGTGTTTTTTTTTTTTATTTCATTTACTTGTAAAATACTGTGCTAATAAATATTACCTACCTATTTGATTAAAGAAGACATTTAAGGTTTGTATTAAATTTTTTCATTATAATATTAGTATTCACTATTCAATTTTTAAATTTGCTTGCGGCCTAGCTAGTAGCTTATTTATTTGACAATTGACATTCTTACAGTTAATTGTAAAATGAAAAATTGTATAGGTAGTGTTATTACAATATTGATTAACTTATTATTTCTTGTTGCCTAAATGTTTAATCTGTACTTTTTTACAATTATAAGCTTACTTTACCAGCTAAATTGCTTATTGCTTTTGATTTTGCTAATTTACCGTACTGCTACTGTAGGAAGATGGTTAAGAAACATAGTGGTGCTTTCTATCGGCAAAAAAAGAAAGAAAATGCTTCTGAAACTGCCAAAGTATTAGCTAAAACGCCTAAACTGTACAATTATTTTCAACAAAATCCTCCAAATCTTACAAGAGAGAATGTCCAGAATGATAGTAATTTTTAATTTATATATATCATTATAGATTTTATATGTATTCATACATAATATACAACTTGACATGTTATAAAAATAATAATTAATTTTATTTATACATATTTAATTTTATTAGACCATAGTTTGAGTAATGATAACGCTGTTTCACAACACTGCTCTAGTGCTCATTCCCCTGAGTAAGTTATTTAAATTTATAAGCCAATTATAAATCTATTTGAATAAAGATGATGATTGTATTAGTCAACCTGAAAAAACTGAAGTAAATGAGCAGAAGATTGAACTACTTCGTACAATAAATTCAACGTTTGATAACACTGTCACTTCAGAGTAAGTAAACTCACAAGTCACATTTATGCTGGTATTGGTTCATAGTATAATAAATTAATAACCATTGTTATTTTAACACTTTGCATTAGTCTTACTATTGATAACAAAGTTAATGATCTATCAAGAACGGAAGAAAACCATTATATTATTGATGAAGTACATGAAAACCTAGTAACTGTTATTCCTAGGTAATGATACTTTCTTTTTTTTTTTACAATAAATTTATACATTATAAGTAAATACATTTTTAAACTTTGTTTGTTCAGAGATGATCCAACATTGTGGATAGTGAATGAAACAACCAAAGATTATTTTTCATTTAATGGCTTTAATCAAAACCTGGAAAACAATGATTTTTCAAAATCAAAAAGACTTTCTACAAAACGAATGCGGGGTGCTCAGCGTTCCTATTATAGATATTTCAGTCTTAAGTTTATAAAAACTAAGTTAATAAATAATGAACCATTCAATCGTACATTTTTGGTATATTCGAATAGTACCAGTAATGTTTATTGTGCACCTTGTCGATTATTTGGGAGTAAATCAGTTTTTGCTACAGTTGGTTTTAGTAACTGGAAGAAAGGAGAAGAAAAAATATCACAGCATGAAAATTCGATTTCACATAAATCTTGTGTTCTTAAAATGTCTCAAAGAGGTTCTGTATTAGAACGAATTGATAAACAACTTATTTTACAAGTAGAAACAGAAAAAATGTATTGGGAAAAAGTGTTGACAAGAGTAGCAGCTGTTGTAAAATCGTTGAGTTCCAGAGGACTTCCATTGAGAGGACATGATGATAAATTTGGTTCTACTCATAGTGGAAATTTTATAATGAGCTTAGAGCTCATAGCTGAATTTGATCCATTTCTTTCCAATCATATTGCACAATATGCCAATAAAGGAAAAGGAAGCACATCTTATTTATCTTTTGCAAATTTTGAACAATTTGTTTACATTATGGCTGAAAAAGTAAAAGAAACTATAGTCAATGAAATTAAAGATGCAAACTATTTCTCTATAGTAGTAGATTCAACGCCTGACATTTCTCATACCGATCAATTGTCATTAATATTCAGATATGTAAAAAAGAATGGTGAACCTGTTGAAAGATTTTTACAGTTTTTTGCCAATGCTGGACATAAGTCTGAAGATATGGCTGATGCAATTTTTATGGCGTTAGGAGCAAATGATCTGAATATTAAAAATTGCCGTGGCCAGTCATACGATAACGCATCTAATATGTCAGGCATGTACTCAGGACTTCAGGCAAGAATAAAAGAAGCGTGTATCCATGCAGTTTACATTCCTTGTGCTGCACATTCATTAAACTTAGTTGGTGAATGTGCAGCCAGTTGCTGTACACAGGCAAATGATTTTTTTTATTTTCTTCAAAATACCTATACGTTTTTTTCTTCTTCAACTAACCGTTGGAATGTATTAAATGAATGTCTTTCAAAATCTGAAAGTTTAACGGTTAAGAGATTATCAGACACTCGGTGGTCTGCACGCCATGATGCTTGTCTAAGTCTATCTCGAAATTGGAATGAAATTATAAAAGCTTTAAATATAATTATACATAGTTCAACAGAAAAATCAACAACCAAATGTGAAGCCAAAGGTTTATTGAAAAATCTGAAAAGTTTAGAAATGGGTATACTAACAACACTTTGGAATGATATATTGGAAAGATTCAACTGTATTAGTAAAAAACTGCAGAGTGTTCACATTGATTTAACAACAGTTGTGACTTTGTACAAATCATTAATATATTATATTCAAGACTTACGAAATAGTTTTGCATTCTATGAAAAATTGGGTAAAGAAAAATCTGGTGTAGATCAATACAAAATTGAACGAAAAAGAAAAAGGAAAATGCCTTATGGAGAGTCAAATCAAAATAATTCAACATTTCAACAAAGCGACTCATTTAGAGTAAATACTTTTACAGTTATATTAGATTCATTACTTACAGAGCTAAACAAAAGAAAGAGTGCTTATGATAAAGTTAATATAAAATTTGGTTTTTTATTTAATCTTACTAAGTTGCCACTATCCAAGGTAAGAGAACAAGCCATACAACTACAATTAGAATATCCAGAAGACCTGGGTTCATCATTCTCTAATGAATGTATTCATTTTCGTAGTCATTTATTTGGATTAGAAGATAATAATTTGCCATTAACTGTTTTAGATTTGTACAAAATATTTAAAGATCCTAATATTTCTAGTTTGTATCCATACATTGAAATAGCATTACGAATGTATTTATGCAGTCCGGTATCAAATTGTTCAGCAGAACGATCCTTTAGTGCACTAAAAAGAATAAAATCCTACTTAAGATCAACTATTGATAATGACAGACTTAATTCATTGGCTATACTGAGTATAGAATCAGAAATTACCAGTTCTCTTAAATATAAAAAAGTAATTGAAGAATTTTCTTTACAAAAGGCCCATCGTAAAATCTAAATATGTAATCATAATTTAATATTTTGTTTATTTTTTATTAGGTATAACCTTTATACTACTATATGTACCTATATTTAATTTTATTCCTTTGTAACACAATTATGAAAAAAAAGTGTAAAATCTAAAATTATTATTTGTTATAGATATTATTATAAAGTAAAATAGTTTAAATGTATTAATTGTTAATAAATAAAATTTATTAATTTAGTTATTTATTGTACATTTGGTAATAATAAATTATGAAATAATATTAACTATATTTTCAAAACATCAATAAATTATTATTTTACTGACAAATTTATGGTAAATTGCTTTATAATTATATAAATAATTGTCTAAGATTGACTTTTTTTTGTTAAGAATAATAAATAATTAGAGCAGGTTTACAGTGGTAAAATAAAAGTGTTCATTTATCACTTGTGCAGAAGCATAAATGAAATAAGTAAAAAATATACATATAATATATATATATTGAGATATAATTTTTAATGACAAAAAGTAAATTTGTAATTAGAGGTTGCTTAAAAGGGAGCGCCAAAATGTTTGTACCTAGGGCGCCAAAATTGTAAATACGCCTCTGACGTAAATATGTTATAATATATTAATAACTTTATTCACAATAATATCATTGTTTAATATACTTAGTAATATAGGCTGACTGACCGTCTTCGCTCAGAATAATTTTTCTTATACAATGATATTATATCATTGTATTCAAATTTAACACAATCCATTACAGTAAGTCACTTGTAACCTACTGTACAGCAGAGCGACTCCCACTTACCCACCCTTTTTTAATATATTATTATCTTTTGTAATTTTAATCTCTCTATTTTATTTTATTCTATTCAATCTCGTATTGTTTTAATGTTTTTCAGGTGAATTGGCCAAAACTAAATGGAAAAATTTGCGTGATTCCTATATGAGATTCAAAAAAAGTGTAAAAGGAGAAACAGGGCAAGCTAAGAAATACCATAAATGGCCATGGAGTAGCCACATGGCATTTTTAGATGATACTCTCAAATGTCGTCCTCCAAGCAGTAATATACCTGATATGTCAATAGGATCACCTAATAGACCAGAAACACCACCACAGGCGGCCAGAGTTCAGATACACATGAAAGTATTATTTCTCCAAGTACCAAACAAATGCCACCCCCTTTAACACCACGGAAAAAACTTAAGTCACATCATGAGTTTAATGACGTTGAAAAAGTTATCGACTATTTGCAAACAAAAAAAAGAACACAACTCGACGGTACTGATCATTTGTTTTGAAGTTACGCGGACACTTTTAAAAAATTTCACCCTCAAATACAAGCTGAACTTAAGATGGAGCTTGCAACATTATTCGCAAAAACTGAATTAAGAGAGCTACGTGAGCAAGTAAGACCAATATATTATAGTGACAATTCAGCTACTAGTTCCCCAAATTCTCAGTATAGTTTTGAATCACAGAGCCAGCCGGATAATCTTTCGTATACAACGACGAGGGATGTTTATGAAAATGCGAGCAACATGGTTATTGGATTAGGGTTGCCTAACCCTAATCAATATATTAATTAAGAAATTTGACTGTATAATGTTAAAACTAATATGTTTTATTTTAACTTTACAATATTTTTCAATTTTAATAAATAAATAAGGTATAATCAGTTTTTTTATTTTTATTTATCTTATAATAAATGTATATATATTTATTATTAGTTTAACTTTTGTTATATGTTATTTTGTGAAATTTACCTCAAACAAATAGCTAATCTTTCTCTTGACTCGATTGGTTCTCTCCAGTTTGTTGGCAATTTTGAAATATTTTCTTTTACTAGGTCATGTAATTCCTCGAAACACTCTCGTGACATGCGAAAATATTGAAAAAAACGATCTTCGTGTGATTGAAGTTCAATACAAAGACGATGGTATTCGCCAAATGATTTTCTTTTCGTATTTATTTCATGCACCCAACATCGTCTTTTTCTTTTGTTTTGAAGGGCGAGTAGAAGAAGAAGTTGCTCTTCGTCAGAACTTGACATATTGAATAAATAATAATATAATGAAAAAAACACTGAAATATATCATTGATTTGTTTGTAACTATATGACTACAACCGCAGGTGGATATGTGACTGGCAAATATCATGTTTTTAGGCTAGACCGCTTATGAAACAAACGCATGGTGTGTGGCGTCACCAGATCGCTGACCGCCGCAACAATCCGCGACCGCTGACCGCCGCGACAGACCGCGTTCTGTGTGCCCGAACCTTTATTGTGAATTATTTTTCGATATTACAAATAAGTGCGCTATCTATTGAGACGTTGTGATATTAATTTACATGTTTCTATATCACCTATACCCGTGGGCTATCTATAGTATATTTAATCTATGCCACATACCTACTGGATTGTGTTAAATTTGAATTTAGTGATATAATATTATATAAGAAAAACGAATCCTAACGAAGACGAAGAGTCAGCCTATGACATATTATAATAATATATATTTGTAACTAAAAAATAATTTAAAATTTGACAATTTTTTTTCAAAATTCAAACATAAACAACTTATAAAAAAAACTTGTGCACGTTGATTTTTAATATTTTTCAACTGCTATTGTAACAATAATATATGCAGAAGCCTTGAATTAAATTTTCACGCTTCTTGACCCAACAAATTTATAATTACTAATTTATCAACAACTATAGAAAAAGAATTGAAAATGTCCGTAAACAGCTCAGAAAAGGTGAAAATTTTTTGAAAATAGTATCAAGTATAGGAATTGATATAATAGATATATATAGTAAATTATTAAAAGTATCTACAGTTATTCGTTTTTTAAATTACAACATAAGAAAATCGCTAAATGATAAATAGAGTGAATATCCAATGTTGTAAAAATCTGAATTTCAAACACTCATAAAAATTAAATTTGTATTTCCGGTAGATATTTTTTCATAAAACTAGACAAATTTATGAAGAATCTTGTACTAAATTTTTAAATTTTAGATTTAAGATTTAAAAAGAAAAATTGTTATGAATTTCTAACAAAATAATTTGCACATTTTTTTTATTTTTACGTATTTTCTATTCTGTGATAATACACAGAAATTTTGTTATTTTCTATCAAACACAATTCGCTAATGCCTAATACATAAAACAATAATTTATATATTATTTACAAATATATTTTACCAATATTACGTATTATGTAATTTATTAATTTATATTGTATTCGAAAATGTACTCGCTCTTTTAGTCTAAACTATCTATGTCCTATACTCATTCATAGATAGCTAGATGTATATAGTATCCTAATCATGAGTTTTTTTTTGTAATACGATTTGAATAAATGTATGATATGATAAATAATCCATATAGCCTATTATATGGCAAAGGTCAATCATTCGCTTGATCGGTATAAATTTTATATTTTTATTTGTTATCAACACTTATCGTATTCACGTCGTCGCCCGTCGGAAACATGAAAGAGGGTGAGTATCTAAATAATAATTATTTAATTATTCAATTATTGATTATAAATGATGACAGTAAATATCAAAGTAAATGAACACAAATATTGTCATTTTGTCCAACTGTTAACATCAGTAATAACTTAGATTTTCGCTAGAATTTTATTATGGTTTTATATTTTTTTAAATTTTTTTTAACGTGAAAATGGATTAACCTAAAAAAACAACTCATCGCTTCCCATCAAAAAAATTATTAGTTAAAAAATCGCCGAGTTCTCGAGTGATGAATATTCTAAGAATTCGTGCCAAAACTAAGTATAACTATTTATTATATTATTATCAAATATGGTTATTAATTTGACTAAATTTGTGTGAACAAAGTTTCAACCCAGATGTCGTAGAACCTGTTGTGGAATCATTTTTCTTAGGTGCTGGCAATCAACCACCATGCTCATCGAGGGAAACGATTAGGTAAAGTTTTAAAATGTAATAACTTATTGTAGGTTGCTATTTAAATTTATTTTAATTAGATTATTATAAATAACATACCTACGTATAATAATAATAATTATATATATACGTATGTTTTAGTGTTATTATTTTATAATAGCATTTTTTTTTTTTTAAGTCACAATTCAGAGACTGTAGAATCTGTTGTGGAACCTTTTTTCTTAGGAGCTGACAATCAACCACCATGCTGATCGAGAGAAACAATTAGGTAAATTTTAATAATTTATAGCCATCTAAGTTTTATTGTATGAAAACTAAAACTATAATTATTTTTTATTTTTTATTTATAATACATATGTTTTTTTAATTTTTTAGCAAAATGGTGGATTTGAGGGATAATGAAATTAATGATTGGGGTACTGAAAAAGTTATACATAACTTGACATTTGACGAATCTATATCTAGTAATCAAGAAACCTAGTATGATTTTTAATTTAAAATTTGATTGAATAGATGAGTCTACTAAAACGCGAATTTGTTATTATTTTTGAAAAATCAGCGTATTTTATCCATTTCGAATATTGTTTATAACAGTTTTAAAAATTAAATATTATTATTTAAATGTTATAACAAGCCATGCGATGTAAATGAAAGTTCGGGAAGACGAATAGTGGATATACATTACGTTTTTAGTCAAATTAAAAATAGTGTTCATCAAGGGTCATTTGATTGTTCATTTTTGAACGTGACATTTATTTCTGAAAAAAGACACGGATTTAAATCAACATTTAGGTTTCAATGTGATGTGTGTAACATTATTATGTTTATTAACTCAGAAAAGTTGAAACCTGAAACCTTCTTGCCGATTAACGATGCCGTCGTAAACGGATCAATAGCATCTTTAATTGGTTTTACACAATTATCAGAATTGTGTGCGGTTATGTATATCCCTTGTATGTCTTCGTCTACTTTTCTCTTAGTACAAGAATTTATTAGCAAAAGAATCCACGAAGTCGCTGAGGTGCAAATGAAAATTGCGGGTGATGAGGAACGTCAGTTAGCAATAGAAGCTGGTGAGATAGATACTGACGGAACCCCGATGTGCACTGTAGTTGCTGACGGACAATGGTCCAAGCGCAGTTACAAGACCAAATACGATGCATTATCCGGAGTGGTAATATTACATATATAATACTAGCTGAATTACCCGTCGTTGCCGGGTTTAAGTATAAAAAATGTCTACAGCCCAACTTTAACCGGACGGCCGCAGACCAAGACAGACGATTAATTTTAATAGTTATATAATAAAAGCTGAATTACCCGTCGTTGCTTGGTTTAAGTATAAAAAATGTCTACAGCTCAACTTTAACCGGACGGCCGCAGACCAAGACAGACGATTAATTTTAATAGTTATATAATAAATAATAATAATAATTTTAATAGGTATATAATAAACTAGCTGACCCGGCCACGCTTTGCTGTGGCTAAATGTTCTTACACTTGATATTAAGCAGACAGTCTTAAACTTTTAAACGTTAATATCTAATTTTTTAAATTATAAATACTTTTAATTTTTCTATTTAATTTAACACCAATCGGTGCACAATGCTTTTGGTTAACCTGTCTTTAGCTAACACAAATAGATTCGACAGTTTCTCAACACGTGAACACGCAACATATAGTTGCCCATGAGAAAAACATGGATTTTCCAAATCTAAACCACAATTGGACATTGTTTGACCTTGAGATTTACTTATAGACATGGCGAAAGCTAAACGAATTGGAAACTGTAGCCTTTTGAAGGGTATGGTAGAATCTGATGGTATCATCGGAATACGTGGCAGCAGGACCACTTTTCCTTTAAACTTACCAGACAAAATGGTTGCTTCAAGAATGTTTCCGGTAATCTTTTTGATGACCAAACGCGTACCGTTATATAATTGAGGTGGCTTCAAATTACGGAGGAGAATAATGGGGGAACCAATCTTTAATCGAAGATTATGTGGTGGCATTCCAGGGATATCTAATGAATTTAAAAATTCTTTCGGAAAATTTACACTTTTATTTTCGTCAACAACAGTATCGATTGATTTAAATGACATCAGATCGCTTGGTAACAACTGTTGTATCTGGAAGTTAATTTCGTCAACATCAACGTTTTTGGCTGCCAAAATCGTCCGTTGACTAAGCCATTCATGATTCAAATAATTATTCTGTATATCCGGGAAAATACTCTGAATCAAATCATTTT